TCGCAGAAAAAATGCCCGGATTTTTGTAAGCCTTTTTGTAAACCTTCAGTCTCATGAGGTTTGCTTTGAAAATAAAACCTGTAGCTTTCATTTAAATATTCAGAACTTCAATATAACGCATTGGGCTTGTTTTCTGTCACCTGCAATGCAAAATAAGGTGAAGAGCATTTGTAAGTCTTCTTGTTACCTATTGGAATGGAGGCAAAAAGTTAAGTGCTCATGGACATGAGGAATCCCAAATCCTTCTATTCAAATGTGTTCACCGACGGAATTCGAGCACTCACACACGCATTGCAAAAAAGTACCTTTTCAAATATGCAAATAGCAACATCTTTCAAGCACTCACCAGTCAAATTTGCAAAATTCTCGATGAGTTGTTATTCTTCGCTCTACATTTCCTTGAATGCATGCAGTAAACGCAGCGTGGGCATTCTACAGAGATCAGTTGAATAAGGGCGTTCATTTTTTTATTAAAATTGTTCATGAACATTTACCAGGAAGTAGGAATCGCAAATCAGGAAAAACTACTCACATAAAAATTTACAAAAGGACAAAATGGAAGCTGTTGAAGTACATCAAGAAATGCCGTCCTCCCAAAGCGAAAGCAATTTCTGGGAAAATTTCACAGCGTTCCCTGCATTTTTCATTGATGTGGAATTTTCTCAGAGATTTTTTTCTCTTGTAGCGTACATTTGCAGATTATGTTCGCTACTGTCAAGGTCTTTTTTTGTGGATAATCGAGAAATTTTCAGATATAGTCCGCTTGCTGCTGAGTGATTCCGCCTGTATTTTTTCTCGTCACATATGAGAAAAATCTTATTCGTATTCACAGGAATATTATGAAAGTGCGTAAGGGAATTCTTGCGCAGAGATTCAGGGTTTTTTTCTTTGTACAGTACACACGGGTTCGAGAGAACCCGAACCCGTGGGGCGAAATGGGGCTGTCGGCACGCGAGTCTTGCACGCATCTCAGCGCCAAACTTTTTCCCATCAACTGGGCCGCTTTTCTCGCGTTCATCTTAATCAGAGCCGACAGAGGTGGAAAATGATGCATTGAGGCCTGATTTTTTCTTTCTTTTATTATTTCATCCGTATTTTTTTCTTCTGTTTCCCCTCGGGCTAGGGAAATTCAATTAAGGCATCCGCCGCTGGCTGTTGATCATAACGCACGCCCGGCAGAAAACAATTCATCAGCGCCCGGACCCCGATCATCAAGAATTCTGCTGCGTTTTGATCCCGGAGACCCGGGGTTCCCTCGAGAAATCAACAATCCCCGGGTTTTCGTGTCTTTTCGAATAAGTTTTTTTTTTTTTTTCTGCAGAGGTATCGCTGATGTAGGATGTGACAGCGACGGCGTGACGTCAATTTTCCCTCTGGCATAAACACCAGTGTGACATTTCTTTATCTTTGGGAAAAGAGACTGGTCCGAAGTTCTCTAGATCAATCATGTATTTTTTTTTCATCCATCACCAGAAGTTGCTTGTGTTATGTTTTCGATGAATTAGGAAGGAAATGCTGCAGATAACATATTTCTATAGTGAATGAATCAACATCGTAATTCAACGGATTCAGCCGGAAAAGAAATCATTATGCATTCAAGCAATGGAATTATTTGAAAATCGTCATCAAAGACGGGCAAAAACAACATTCGGAATTACGTAAAGCAATCGATAACCTTTTATCATCGTTCCATTCGTGAGTTTTACTCGTACTTTTCTATGAAGACAGTGTGATTTGCATGAGTTGCTGAGGCCGACGAGAAAATTATTTTTAGGTATGAAGTGGAGTGGATTGAAGACGCGAAAATTACTTCTTGTAATTTATATGAAGAGTTGACCGTGAGTTTGCTTACTTTGATTATAAATCATATTGGTTTGATTTTGGCGTTTAGAAATATTGTATTTCGCGAAGGCGTGCTGTTTCGCGCATATGAATAACCGCCGAAGATGAATTAGCAAAAAAAAATTATATATATATACAGTATTCCCCTTCTCAGAAAGGTTTTCATGGAATCAGCATTGCATTTTTTATGCGGGAAAAATGGGGCTTGGTAAAAAATGCTGGACAGCAGTGGACATTTCGAATAGATCAAAGGATTTCTGGGTGGATAAAGAAATTCATGCAAAATGGATTCTGAAGCTGGAGTAAAACGGATTTGCAGTCGCATCAAAGTATCCCAGGGATCCTCCCTTTTTTCACGCGTTGAGCGAAAATTTATGCACTTCACGCATCATCGTCGCCCTCGCGCGAAATTCACCAAAGAACTGGAAAAACGGCACTAAGACCAAAGAGAAAAATGTTGGAAATCCTTCCCATTTTCATTTGCATTTCTGGGTTGGTCTATCCTGNTTTTTTTTTTTTTTCTGCAGAGGTATCGCTGATGTAGGATGTGACAGCGACGGCGTGACGTCAATTTTCCCTCTGGCATAAACACCAGTGTGACATTTCTTTATCTTTGGGAAAAGAGACTGGTCCGAAGTTCCCTAGATCAATCATGTATTTTTTTTTTTCATCCATCACCAGAAGTTGCTTGTGTTATGTTTTCGATGAATTAGGAAGGAAATGCTGCAGATAACATATTTCTATATAGTGAATGAATCAACATCGTAATTCAACGGATTCAGCCGGAAAAGAAATCATTATGCATTCAAGCAATGGAATTATTTGAAAATCGTCATCAAAGACGGGCAAAAACAACATTCAGAATTACGTAATGCAATCAATAACCTTTTCATCGTTCCATTCGTGAGTTTTAATCGTTCTTTTCTATGAAGACAGTATGATTTGCATGAGTTGCTGAGGCGGACGAGAAAATTTAAAAATCCATACTTCACCTCACCTAACTTCTGCGCTTTTAATGAAGAACATTAAATATACTTCTCAACTGGCACTCAAACGAATGAAACTAATATTTAGTATAACCAAACTAAAACCGCAAATCTTTTATTGTATTTCGCGAAGGCGTGCTGTTTCGCGCATATGAATAACCGCCGAAGATGAATTAGCAAAAAAAAATATATATATATACAGTATTCCCCTTCTCAGAAAGGTTTTCATGGAATCAGCATTGCATTTTTTTTTATGCGGGAAAAATGGGGCTTGGTAAAAAATGCTGGACAGCAGTGGACATTTCGAATAGATCAAAGGATTTCTGGGTGGATAAAGAAATTCATGCAAAATGGATTCTGAAGCTGGAGTAAAACGGATTTGCAGTCGCATCAAAGTATCCCAGGGATCCTCCCTTTTTTCACGCGTTGAGCGAAAATTTATGCACTTCAGCGTAGTAGCAGCGGGAGCGCGCTTTAAGTGGTTTCTTGACCTTTTTGCCGTGATTCTGGTTTCTCTTTTTACAACCTTTAGGAAGGGTAAAAGTAAACGTAAAGACCCAACCAGATAGGACAAAAACTTTTCTTTTTGCGAATCATCAAAAGACTGAAAGGGAGCCGAACAGCCGCCGAAAATCCATGGATATTTTCGAAACGAAATAAGTTATTCAAAATTTTCTAAGACATTAAAAACGGAAGTGCACGCGAAATTTCAACCCCTGCTCTGTACAGGGACGATACCCAATGCAGTGAAAATGTATTTACAATGAAAAGGAAGACAATGTTACGTAACATTGGCATGCAAATCAATGCGGGATTCTTGTGTCCATCTCACGAATCCCGCGGGATTTTTCACTCCATCAAAAGCAGGGGATTATTCAGAACATTTTGTCTTGCGGTATCTTTTTTTTTTTTCGTCTATGGCCAGTGCTGAAAGGTTTATAAACAAATTCAGGATCAAACCAGGGCTGATGGCTACTTGCTAGTCAGCACCCACGGGGTTTTCCGGAAAGGGTCACTTGGAAATTGATTTGATTGGAAATAAATCCCTTTGGGGATTTACCCAACGGCTCACCGTGAGGAACTGTATCATCCTGACTTTCCCCCGAAAACCCCTTTTCGGATAGAATTGATTTCGACTAAGCTTGAGATCAACTGCGTGCCCAGAGTTAACGTAGGAATATAAATCCATCAATGCACTGCTTACTCAACATACTTCCTTTTCCGAGTTGCGATCAACGGTCCGAATTTCAAGTCTATCAGGGAATCATAGTCTTGCATAATTTTTATTTCATCTGTTCAATTTCCCTCGGGCTGACTTGAAATTTTATCAACATGAGAAATTGAGATAATTACTTATCTGTCTTAAAATCGAACAACGAAAAATTGATGGTATGAATATAGTATGATGATCTCATGTAGAAAAAGAAAAGCCACTGCAATGCAGTTTTTTGTAATTTTATTAAGATGCTGTTTTCCACCAAGTATTTTCTGTGATATACGTAAATAAATCAGGAATAGTACCTGTTTAATAGTTTTTTTCATGTAGTCCTGGATTTATATTTTATAATATACGTAATAATGCGATTTTAATTTTTTATAATCCATTGGGAAGTATGGTTGATTCAGATTGTATCCTATTACAATGGCGCCGGAAACTGGAACCTAGTCTTTTAAGCGTGATTTTCACGACCTTGTATCTGTGAGTGACACGAGTGACGCCATATTTGAATATTACACTTATCCAATATTCAAACGTGATTATCGTTTGTCACGTCAAATTTGAATTTATAATTCACGTTCCCAACTGAAAAAGGAAAGCATACTGCTTCCTTTCGACAGAGTTCGAGATTAAAACCTAATATCTTCCATAAAATCGGGAAAGCAAAATTGATATGCATTGATTGAGCTAAGTCGTTTCATCGAGAATTTGACAGTAACTTATATACTCAACGAACCTGTTTCATATGCGACCTATGACGAGGTTTTCTGAAATTTGCAGCATGTTCTTTAAAACGATCTACTACATTAATTGAAAATTGTCTAAAAGATGCCAACGGGTTCGAGTTCACGACGAGGAGCATAAATGGAATAAAAGTAAATTAGAGATGTCTTTATTTCTTTCTTTTTTAAACTTACGGACAGTCTTGATTATTTCAAAATGAATATTGAGATGTCCTTGGCGGCTTGAAATATTTTTTTTTATTTAGTGCATTACTCTTCATCTTGAGCGATACAGCTTGGGAACTAGCTTGAAGATGTTGAAAGAGGTATCTGCTTTAAACATTTTGCAGGTGGAAACGGAATGACTACAACGGGAAGATAGATGTCGCTCGTCCTCCCGAAGTGAATTCATCGCCCCACGAATAAATTAAAATCCAATGATAAAATCCCCGAATAGATTCGAATGATCGAACCTGCAAAATCAATCCTTAGACTTTGATTTCGGTTTCCAGGCGATAATTTTTGGGACAGTGGTTGAATAAGGAGTATACTGATGTTTAGTACCCGAAAGATTTTTTTCGTACTTCATCATCCATGGGTATTTTACGCGAGCCTTGACAGTCGGTGCGAAGTCAGTTTTGTAGTGCAACCATCCATACCAGTCTGGAGGGATCATACTGAAAGAAATATTTGCGATCACTAGAAAGCAAAAAAATTGTAAGAAACGAAATTTATAATACAGTAAGTGATGTGATGCAAAAGATAACATCCGTGAGGCCAAATAAATAACGCAGTCGGACTAAGATTTTATTGTACGGTATTCCAAGCAAAAACCTGCCAGTATTTCAATAGCATTCTACAGTCTACACTAGCATTTGAATATCAAAATTTCATTAATTATTTTCTTTCATTTCATGCGGCGTTTACTTTTTAAATGACGTTCATTGAGGCAATGGAGCAACGCAGTGTGTCTCGAAAATTTTTAAAGCTAAATGCACCCAAATCAATGCGGGTTTAATAGGTAATTTTTTTAGTATTAACCCGTCAATAGTCCACGGTTGGTATTTAGGGTTCATAATTCGAGTAACTCGAAACAGTTTTGAACTACAAATAACCAAGGCTGAATTTCTGTTAAACCGTGTGTAGAAATCACGACAACCGACCTGTTAAAATTTCAAAAAATGTGACGAACCTCCCATCATAATCCACTCCAACACTGGGATGGTAAATGACCCATCTGTTTCTGCCGAAAAAGTACCGGGTGTTCTCATAATATTTATTGCCAAACTGATCTTCTCCAACCAATGTTCCATCTTTCAAATCATTCTGGCGGTAAAGTTTGTACACTGATGCCCGGATCCCGCCATTGTCTGAGATTGCCTTGCTGAAATTCCGTAACCAAAGTGTCCATTCACTCATGGCTCGGTTTTCAGGCTTGTTCAAGTGAATTTTAAAAAGGTTTAACAAGTAAAAACCACTTCCGATGAAGGATAAGACGTTCCCAAAACCTTATGACGCAGACGATNACGGAATGACTACAACGTGAAGATAGATGTCGCTTGTCATCCCGAAGTGAATTCATCGCCCCACGAATAAATTCTTATGATAAAATCCCCGAATAGATTCGAATGATCGAACCTGCAAAATCAATCCTTAGACTTTGATTTCGGTTTCCAGGCGACAATTTTAGGGACAGTGGTTGAATAAGGAGTATACTGATGTTTAGTACCCGAAAGATTTTTTTCGTACTTCATCATCCATGGGTATTTTACGCGAGCCTTGACAGTCGGCGCGAAGTCAGTTTTGTAGTGCAACCATCCATACCAGTCTGGAGGGATCATACTGAAAGAAATATTTGCGATCACTAGAAAGCAAAAAAAATTGTAAGAAACGAAATTTATAACACAGTAAGTGATGTGATGCAAAAGATAACATCCGTGAGGCCAAATAAATAACGCAGTCGGACTAAGATTTTATTGTACGGTATTCCAAGCAAAAACCTGCCAGTATTTCAATAGCATTCTACAGTCTACACTAGCATTTGAATATCAAAATTTCATTAATTATTTTCTTTCATTTCATGCGGCGTTTACTTTTTAAATGACGTTCATTGAGGCAATGGAGCAACGCAGTGTGTCTCGAAAATTTTTAAAGCTAAATGCACCCAAATCAATGCGGGTTTAATAGGTAATTTTTTTAGTATTAACCCGTCAATAGTCCACGATTGAAACAGTTTTGAACGACAAATAACCGAGGCTGAATTTTTGTTAAATCTTGTGTAGAAATCACGACAACCGACCTGTTAAAATTTCAAAAAATGTGACGAACCTCCCATCATAATCCACTCCAACACTTGGATGGTAAATGACCCATCTGTTTCTGCCGAAAAAGTACCGGGTGTTCTCATAATATTTATTGCCAAACTGATCTTCTCCAACCAATTTTCCATCTTTCAAATCATTCTGGCGGTAAAGTTTGTACACTGATGCCCGGATCCCGCCATTGTCTGAGATTGCCTTGCTTAAATTCCGTACCCAAAGTGTCCATTCACTCATGGCTCGGTTTTCAGGCTTGTTCAAGTGAATTTTAAAAAGGTTTAACAAGTAAAAACCACTTCCGATGAAGGATAAGACGTTCCCAAAACCTTATGACGCAGACGATGGCAGTCGCGAAAATGTACGGAATTATTGCATTTTGGGGTGAAAGTTTCCGCAGTGTTGTCTTCTGATGAACCTTCAATGATAATTTTCTTTATTGAGGAGCTAAAACTTACACGATTTTGCAAGAATTAGCGAATTAAGGCGGCAGGTGTAAGTTCCACGAAATTCCGGTCTCCCGAAAATTCACAAGAAAGGAGAAAATTTCCGACAAGAAAAAGAATGAAGATTTTCCTCTCGATTTCAAATCAGAAAGTGTACTACTATGTAGGTTCAATGCATAAAATCTGCTGAAGAAGCCCAAAAAAGAGGCTTTCAACTCGATTTCACTTCGAAAAAAGTTTCACCAAGTTTCAAGAAATTGAATTTGTTTCGGGATGATTCAGATCAGATGTTAGTACTTTGTTATGGGAAGAGTACTCTGATTGAAAAAAGAAACATTTCCACGAAAAAATTTCACATTTTTTATCCACAGCCAACACAGGTCACAACTCACAAGAAGATCTCACTTCTATTCGAACTAAAAAGGATTCCTACTCGACCGAATTATTTTTCGTGTCACGGCGAAAGATTCAAGCTTCAACAACAACAAAATTTTGCACAAAAAATCCCGGTTTTTTTTCAATCCACACTGCAATTCCGCACGCACAAAAAAAAAATACTCTTTTCTGGGTTCGATGACGAATCTTTTCGAGATTTTTACCCGCTGTTGATCGCATTAAATAAGCATATGCAACAAACAGGATTGTTCATCGACAAGCAGAAATAAGCATAAACTATAACGAAGGCACCAGTTTGGCACTGAGCCGTGTCCTTCGGGCACAGGTCACCTCGAGGCATTGCGAAACCCGAGGTCAGGACTTCTCCGACTTGCTCAACGAGACTCAATTCTTGACGACGTTCTGCTGATCGCATTTCACGTTCTGTTTGTACGTGAATCCATTGGGGACACCCTGTACGTACAAAATAAATACAGTACATGAAAATGGGCACCGTATTTAAAGAGAAGTGAGCAATTCTAGTCTCGATAGAAGAAATTCTGTTCATCAGATGATCCCCGGAGTATTTTTAAATTATCAAGAAAATTGACAGAGGCTTCTTTCGAGTTTCGTTATCGAAAAAACTTCAGAACCATTTCTCGTACATTCATGAAATTCATCCGTGCTGAACATTCGTTAAATTTCAAATATTTTAAAATTTTAAAAAAACGAACCTGAAGCTGAGGAAATTGCGCTGAGTCCGACCCCGGTCCTGACCAGAACGGGGTAATCGTTCGACCTCCTCACTATTTGTCCGACGCGTTGCAAACATGTCCAAATTGGCACAGGTTGTTCGTTGAAATTCAGGATTTCATCCTCGAGTTTCAAGCTGTTCATAGCATCTTCAACTTCCAAATCAAGGCTGTCTTTCCTCGCGTTTACGCCAATAGCGAAAAGCGCTAGAGTGATACAAATTCTGGAAGACACGAGAGGATCATTTTCTATCCACACTGGATGTTTAAAAAACTTTTTGACTTATTTACCGCTTGAAATGTGACATAATGTTTCCCCAGTTTCAAGAGTCAACTTTTCGTTACCGCGTTCTGAGATTTACTGTCGTAGCGTCGTGTTTCGTGACGAGGATTTTAAAGACACGTACAGGATTCATTTTTCCCCCTCCTAGCTGGAAAAGTTGACGATGCGGTGCTAATTTTCTTTCTGAAGAACAGTGTTTTTTTCTTACGATTTGCCGTCGCAAGTATTCGCGTGAGGAGATAACAGAATCGAATTTTTCAGTTGAAAAAATATATAACTTAATATTCATTTTTCCCCACGCACGTCATGCGATCAACGTTGCGTTTCTTCGTATATACGCTACCGAAAATTTTAATTGATGACACAACCAAAGCCCGAAGATGTTTAATCGCCAACCAATCACGTAAAAAACACACGTGTCTATATACAGATGAACATTTTGACTGGTTTTGGAATTAATTGAGAAATTAATTACAGAAAGCAAAATTATCTTCAGTTGCTGGATGCATTCTGTTGTGTTCAGTAGAAATCAATTCAGTGAATACTTATTGAAAAAGTGAATTTGGCGAACAAAATTTATTTTTTCTTCGTTTTTTTTTTGCAAAATGAAGAACGAGTAGGGCAACGATTTTTCCCAGCCGTGTTTCGTTCAATTTGAGTACTTACATAAAATAAAAATAAATTGGTGTCCAGAAAAGCATGTTGGGAAAAAAAATCATGCAATGCAACCGTTTTCGTTCCTAAATTTTTAGGATGCGGGACGTTTAAAAAAAAATCATGAGCAATTGCGTATTGTCAGAAGAAAGTCAAATGTGTCAGACTTCGATTTCATAACTTTCCTCATATTGGATACGATTCACGCTGAAATTCCGATGATTATTTACCAATTTTCGACTCAGAAATCCGAAAAAAAAATGTTTGAAATTATAAATGAAGTGGTAATGCTACTGGAAAATATAATACAAATTCTAATAATGAATTGACGAATTAAAAAAAAACACACGCACACGAGCATCACGAAATGTTTTCGATTGTTCGCAAATGAGCTTCTGAAACGTAAACAACTTCAGCGCCTTTCCCTCGGATATAAACGAATCCGACCGACTGCAAAAATTCAGCAACAGCAGCTTCTCAAGAGTCAACTTTTCGTTACCGCGTTCTGAGATTTACTGTCGTAGCGTCGTGTTTCGTGACGAGGATTTTAAAGACACGTACAGGATTCATTTTTCCCCCTCCTAGCTGGAAAAGTTGACGATGCGTTGCTAATTTTCTTTCTGAAAAACAGTGTTTTTTCTTACGATTTGCCGTAGCAAGTATTCGCGTGAGGAGAGAACAGAATCGAATTTTTCAGTTGAAAAAATATATAATTTTTTATTCATTTTTCCCCACGTCATGCGATCAACGTTGCGTTTCTTTGTATATACGTTACCGAAAATTTTAATTGATGACACAACCAAAGCACGAAGATGTTTAATCGCCAACCAATCACGTAAAAAACACACGTCTCTATATACAGATGAACATTTTGACTGGTTTTGGAATTAATTGAGAAATTAATTACAGAAAGCAAAATTATCTTCAGTTGCTGGATGCATTCTGTTGTGTTCAGTAGAAATCAATTCAGAGAATAAATATTGAAAAAGTGAATATGATGGCGAACAAAATTTATTTTTGCTTCGATTTTTTTTTAAAAATGAAGAACGAGTAGGGCAACGATTTTTCCCAACCGTGTTTCGTTCAATTTGAGTACTTACATAAAATAAAAATAAATTGGTGACCAGAAAAGCATGATGGGTAAAAAAAATCATGCAATGCAACCGTTTTCGTTCCTAAATTTTTAGAATGCGGGACGTTTAAAAAAAATTCATGAGCAATTACGTATTGTCAGAAGAAATTCAAATGTGTCAGACTTCGATTTCATAACTTTCCTCATATTGGATACGATTCACGCTGAAATTCCGATGATTATTAACCAATTTTCGACTCAGAAATCCGAAAAAAAAATGTTTGAAATTATAAATGAAGTGGTAATGCTGCTGGAAAATATAATACAAATTCTAATAATGAATTGACGAATTAAAAAAAAACACACACACACACGAGCATCACGAAATGTTTTCGATTGTTCGCAAATGAGCTTCTGAAACGTAAACAACTTCAGCGCCTTTCCCTCGGATATAAACGAATCCGACCGACTGCAAAAATTCAGCAACAGCAGCTTCGCCTTCTTCCGTGTGCAGCAAATCCAACAAAATGACCTTCAACCAGCATCGAAAATCAACATTAAAAAAAAACTAAATGTGAGACATTCAAAAGAGAGGAATCGTGTTCTCTAACCTTGATTTTGACATTGTCCCAGTTGATTGTTTTGAGCACTTGAAGTTCGACGCCTTCAACGTCTAGCGAGAACAAGTCGATTTCTTGAAAATTTGCTGCTGAAAGCAGAGCTTCGAGAGGATAACAATCAACTGTGGCAGAAAATGGAACTTTCCCTTTGTGGTTCCAGGTTTTCATGTTCTTTGCCCATTTTTTGGCACTTATTGTCGCTCCCCACATTGTGTGAAGTAATTTTGGGTCATGCAACATGTTCATCTCTACCTGAATCAAACCGAGACTCTTTGAATATTTTCTTTTTCGTATAACAAGCATTATAAATAAATTACGGAAGTACAGTATTGCCCTGAACTCATTACTGAATTTCGAGTTTAAATTTCATTTTAAAAAAACCAAAGAAAACGTGAATATTTGACGAATTTTCAATATATAATCTTGACATTCGTCTCATAAGGAAACGAATCATAGTAGAAGGCGGAGTTCATTCACATTAAAAGAAAAATTCCTAACATCCTTCGAAACCGAAAGCATCCCTTTATATGCACACAAATTTATAAAAATTTTACGGTTCATTAATCTATAGAAGCTTGTTCATCGCCTAGCATTTTTCATATGACTAATTTAAAGATTCAAAAAATGCTCAGGCATTTTTTAAAATTCAAAATGTCTCACTTTAATGGGTTTCCGTCGAGGTGACAGACAAACAGGAGCAATCCAGGATTTGCGATTTTTTGCAAGCAATAATTCAATAGCCATTGGGTTCATTTCAGCTAACAAACCCGTCCAATTCAGTGTTCTTTCGAGATAAAGTGAAGTGGAAAGAATTTCACCATCCAGTGCACCTGCTTCAAAGAAAACTCCAGACTTTTTCTGGAAGCAGCTGTAAAAATCTTACTCAGAAAATATTAGTAAATTCATTCACTTACTCCAGGGAAAAATGTTGGGATTATAAATTTCGAGACGATATCGTTCATCGAAGTGTCAAACCCAGGAATCGTAGTCAAATTATAAGCTTTGATCGATGGTTTAATCAAAATTTTATCCCGCACAAATGAAATCAAATCTTCATCCACGGAATCTTCCTCGATTTCATTGCACAACTCTTCCACAAATCCCATTCTTGTTCCGATTTCGTAGCACAAAGCGAGAAAAGTAACACATGCGCAGAAAAGGATGAATTTTTTCGGCAGCATGGATTTTTCCAATTATGACTAGTTTTTTTTTTTTCTTCTATAAAATTACGAGTTTGAAACGTCGGATAGAAGCCCCACGTTGGAAATGAATGAGAAGTGAACTGACGAATGCTTATCGCCTGAGATTTTCAGCGAACCCGACTTGGGAACCAGGAAAAGATTAGCGCTCTTCAACGTTATAATTTTTTTAAATCATGATCAAGATCAAGAGAAAATCTTCAAGCATTGTCTAAATGGATTCGCAATCAACTGGGAACGTGTTCTTTCATTTCAATGCAACATTTCTCGTTTCGTACAGCATTTATGAAATTTTAGCCCAGTTTTCTGCTGACAGCGGCTCGTCTTTTTTTTTGTCATAGGCCACAAGATTTAAAGCCCTTAAAATTAAAGTGTGGCCTACTTTAAATATGTAATGCATAAGGCCTCAAAATTCGTCACTTTCGGATGAGCGCCCAAGTGATTATTTGTGTGTGTGTGTTATTAAATGTTATTTCATAAAATTATGGCTGAGTGAATTCCATCTTCGCGAAATTTAAGTTTCAATGAGATTAAAAAGAGAAAAAATATAATCTTGTAAGGCCATCAAGGTGAAGACATTTTTCACTCATCATTTTTAATATCTCGCTGTGGCAGATGCAGAATATATTTTGTAAAAATCGCTCGACGAATGCGGTCCTCAAAGAAAAACTTCGTCAATATTCAGGTCATCAAAAACGCTTCAATTTTTAATCTCACATTTTACAAGGAGATGCCGGATTGAATAAAAAAAATTGTTGAAGTGGATTCGAAAATGATGCATGGATACTGCGCAAATATAGTGACTGACATCAGTAAAAAATGAGGGCACTTTCGAGTTCCTTGCAGTTGGTGACCCTGAGATGAGTGGTTTCTTCCACAGGCGACAAATAGCTGCAAATCAGCTCTCCCTTCCCATTCACGCCGGTCCACTTCAAAATGAAATTGTCAGTTTTGAAATAGAAGACAAATTTGAAAGCCGTGCCCTTTTCGAAGGCGAAATCGTCTCCTGAAGCCACTTCCCGACGCCAACCGGGATCCACGTTGGACCCGACCCAGAGTTTTCGCTCGCTGAAAACGGATTCCAAGAAAAACGTCCGATCCGCCCTTTGCAAACTTTTCGACGAATTCGGGGAAGTTTTCACTGGAATCTTCCAGAAGTCGATTGTGAAATACGAGGCTGGATTAGTGGGTGATTCCGAAATTTCTGAAGCACCGTCGAAAATCCCTCGCAAAAGCACGTTGTCCCCGGGCTTTAATCGCACGTCGGTGATCCAGGACTTCGTTTTTCCGTCAGTCATGCTCATCACTGAAGGAACCATGTCTAAATCTTGAGGCGACTTTGGAACTGTTTCTAAAATTTCTGACCAGTTTCCCCTGCAAAAAAAAAATGCGACAACGATGATAGGCCATCGAAACTTCCCAAAAACGCAAGACGTATGTTTAATTTTCCAAATAACGGGATCTTCAAAACATGACCGGTCGATTTCAAGAGCTTCAAAACAATTCTGAAACAACATGAATTCAAAAACTAGCACATAAAAACAAAGTAAAAAGCATGCTGATTCGAAATTACTGAAAATAAATTCAAAAATCGAAAATGACCCCGAAAATGCAAAATGTTCGCCACGCAAAATAAAAATTCGTCACTTTAACACAGTAGTGACAAGTCAAAAAAGAAATTATCACATTTAAACATTTGAGGAATTCTTTTTTTAATATATAGGCATTTCGGGAATCATATCGCATGCAGCTGAAGATTCCCTTTGTAAAAAAAAAAATTGATACGAAAATATGTTGAGATATTTTGCAAGAACGTTGAGCGGAAACCTGCTGATGGAGGCCTTTGCAGAGCTTCTCCCACTGCTCAAAGCAGTCTCAAAATCATCAGTTGTTGAACCTTTTTGCTGATCAGCACCACCCAGAGCCACGATATTGTCAGAACTGAAACACATCCCCGAAGCAGCTCCAGCAGATGCTTGATTCAAGCGAAACGCTGTCGTCAGGATCTTGCTTTCATTTCCAGAGGAAAGTGTCGAATGAAATCCTCGACAGAGTCTCGAGTGACGTACATTCTCGTTGACGTCATCGGCACTCTTTGACTTTTCAGTGATTTCCCGGACATGGGATTGCTGGTCGCTTGGGAACGTCTTTTCCACGGGTTCCACGAGTTGGGACGTGGCTTCCGGGTCGGGTTCGGGTTTCGATTCTTTGCTGATTAGGTCCGCGGGACACTGCGAACTTAGTTCGTTGGAAATTTCTTTTGGCTCGTTATTGACAATTGGTGAGTTTGGCTTATTGCTGGAAGCGTGTGCGCTAGCAAATTTTTGCGAGCTGTTTTCCGGGGACGGTTTTTCAGACGACTTATTGTTGATAATTGGCGAATGCGCTTTGGAGGAATTTGAACCAAAAACTCTCTCAGCTCCGGACTGTTGAAGGCTTTCGGGAGATTTTCGTGATGTCAAGTGAGGCGATGAAACTGAAACGAAGTTGAAAATTTAGTTTCAGTTTTGTCGAAGCGATTTTCTAGCGCTCCAAAACAGGTCAAGTTTTTAAACCAGAAAAGAAATGCATTGCTAAATTATTTCTCCATTACGTTCCCTGTTCGTTTTGAAAAATCGTGAATTATTTCGTGAGAATTTTTTTTGGTCAATGCGGCGAAACACGCAGAGAAAAAATTTTCAAATTATTAATTGTGGGGTTTTTGGTGATGCGTGGCTTCTTATTTTAATCTCACTTCAATTGAAATTCAGTATGGTAGAAAAAATATTAGGTCTCTGAGAAACGTTTTGCAACGTTTCAAACATGAATTTTCAAATTTGACACGCCTTTCGAGAATCTCAGTCGTCTTCGCGAAATTCTTAGAAATTTTATGTTTTTTTTTTGGCATTTCCTCCTAATTGAAATTAATGAATTTAAATCAAAGCAAACAATAAAAAATTTGGCAAAAATTTCGAAAATCGAGTATGCTTTCAATGATGAGAATAATTTTTCTGCAAAACCTTCCAGATTTCTTGAAACAGATTTAAAAATTCGATACCTTTCGAAGACCGTGAAACTTCCGGTGACATCTTTGTTGGACTATGTTCAAACGGCCTTGTAATTATTGCAGCCATTTTCGGATCTTCGGCCACAGGAGCACCTTCGCTGTCATAAACATGACTAGTGAAATTTTCTGTGGCGATGGGAATCGCAGGTGATGTATCACGACTGAGGTATTTCTGATTGCTCGTAATCGAAGATTTCATGAGGAAATCTTTCAAGATTTTCTTGATTTCGTGGAGCAGCCAAATGTCGTGGTAGTCGATTTGCTGCTTGGATGGGCTGGATTTGGTTCTGGCTTTTCTGTGTCCTTTTTCCGATTGGATGTTCATCGATTTGTGCCTGTTTTAGTTTACCAGCACATTTTTGAAAAAAAAGTTCTCATTTTCAATGGGATATTGCTGCGTCTTATAAATAAGAAGGATGTATTTCCCAGATACTACGAATATGACCTTTTACGCAGTAGCTTTACACAGCGCACTTTAAATTTGAATCATATCCACAAAAAATGAAGAACTCATCATTACCGGATGCGAAATGAAGTCATGCTTCCTTTCTTTTAAACTCCATCGAAATTCCCAAAAATTCCTCGAAATAATTATTTTCCTCTTCAAATAATCCCCCACGCAATCCAATATTAAGTCATTATTCGTATAATTTTATGTCAGTCACTATTGAAGAGCTATGAATAAAAAATTCTCGATTGGAATGCAAAAAAATCAGCATAATTTGATTCCTGGAATAGTTTTTTCCATATAGTCTTATTTTACATATCGGTAGTTGAAATGGCCGCGTGCAAAATTTATAGCATGTATCCATCAACATATATTATTATGATGAAGTACAGATGCATTACGCTCACAATTTTTTTTTAATAACGCGCACAAAGTCGGACTCATTTTCAATTTTTGAACCATAAGGAAACAAAAAATATTTGTAATTCTGAATTCAAAATTAATATGAACCACCTTTTCTTGGTCGAAGGGAACAAGTCAACGTTGTTACGGATTTCCCGTTTTGCAAGTGCGCTGAATGCATTTGCTGGAGTTGCCATGAGTGCCAATATATCAGCTGGCTTATGCTCCAACATTCTCTCTTGATTTAATGGCTGTTTTCCAGAAATCTTGGCCCAATTCTCAAGTTTCGGCGAAGACAAAGAGCGTTTCCATTCCACATGTCTCAAAATATCTGCAGCATCCATGTCTTCCTGCAAAAATTTTAAATTTATAAATTGACTTTGGGCTTATTTACGAGGTCATTTGAAAGCTGTTCTCCGCAAAATGCTTGAAGGTGAAGCTTATTTTATGATTAAATATCAAACATTTGAAGCATATACGATATTCCTTATTGCTCCACACCACTTCAAATTATTCTCCTTCAAAAGAAAAAGAGTAATGAAACATTCTTCTCACGCATTTCTTTAGTTTCTTGGCCGAGAAAATGCTTGGTACGTTTAGAAAAGCAAGTAGGACGTATTTAAAATTTATTTTGTAAAAACATTAAAAAAAATAAATGTTCAACTCACCCTTGTCTTGACAATTATGTGCTCTAACCCATCTCGTTCGGAATCACAAATGATCTTCTCAGTGACGAGTTTGTGCTCGTGTCGATGACCGGGTCTCTTGGATCGTCGCTGACGAGCCCTCGTTTTCCCAGCCAAAGATTTATGCACTTTCAGCGAATCCCGTAACAAATCGACAGCATGATCGTCGTTCAAAAGTTCGAGAGGAACCGTGACGTATCTCTTAGGCCTGGAATCGCCGCTGGCACGACGTGTGGATTNCCGCAAAATGCTTGAAGGTGAAGCTTTTTTTTTATTAAATATCAGACGTTTGAAGCATATATACGATATTCCTTATTGCTCTACACCACTTCAAATTATTCTCGTTCAAGAGTAAAAGAGTAATGAAACATTTTACTCATGCATTTCTTTAGTTTCTTGGCCGAGAAAATGCTTGAAGGGTACGTTTTGAAAAGCAAGTGGGAAGTATTTAAATTTATCTTGTAAAAAGTTGAAAAAATAACTGTTAAACTCACCCTTGTCTTGACAATTATGTGCTCTAACCCATCTCGTTCGGAATCACAAATGATCTTCTCAGTGACGAGTTTGTGCTCGTGTCGATGACCGGGTCTCTTGGATCGTCGCTGACGAGTCCTCGTTTTCCCCGCCAAAGATTTATGCACTTTCAGCGAATCCCGTAACAAATCGACAGCATGATCGTCGTTCAAAAGTTCGAGAGGAACCGTGACGTATCTCTTAGGCCTGGAATCGCCGCTGGCACGACGTGTGGATTTCATGTATGCCGAGGACGATGATGTCGACGACGGTGACGATGTCGTGGATTCGTCCACAGACGTGTCAACGACATGACCGCCTTTCCGTCGGTCCGACACTGAAAACCCAAAGGTACCCGACAGGTTCAAGCTGTCTTCGCTTTCATGGCTGGGTTTAATTGGTCGGGCTCTGTCGTAAGCAGCTAGCAAAGTTTTCAAAGAGCTGGTAGAAACGCGTTCCTTTGATGATGGGCTCTTTGTAGTTTGCATCGGAGTCACAGTCTTAACCTCTAAAACCTAAGCACCGTTTGCTTAAGGCCCTGAAGGGGAAACGTCCGTTATCTAAGACCCCCAAAACAGGAGCCTCAGCTTCGTCTTAAATGTATGCCGCGTAAGAGCGTTCAAACATGAGAGGGTTGCAGTTTGGTTCGGGTTTTCGTCTGGGGTTGAACCGAGAACCATGGCTTCCGGGTCTGCTACAATTCATCTTCGAAGTCAGAATATTTCGACCACTTGAAAAAACCTTTTTTTCATTTATTTAAATTGCGTAATATCCATCTAAAAAAAAAAATTACACACGTGGATTTTTCGTCTTTTGTCGCTTTTTTTGTCGAAAAATTGCTTCCTTTGTGTTCCAATATTTATTTTAAAAAATACTATACTGAATTACATAAGACCATTGCATTGTGAAAAAATCTTCACAAACCTTTCGTACGAACATTTTCGTGATTTCTCTTAATATATTCCCCGCAAATTCAAAGCAGTCAACAGAATTCCTTTCCAACTTCGATCATATATATTTGCATATATTTCAACTTGATGCATCTGTGTCCAATTTGAGGCATGCCGCCAAATTTCACTGATTGAAATGATCCTGAATTGAACAAAGTTGAACTAAACAAGGGTTGATCAAGTTTTAAAAACTATTCCTCAAATAACTCGCTGAAAAACGAGATAGAATTTCATTAAATTAAATATACGATCCCTTTTTTTGGATATGATAATTCTCCAAGGTATATTTTATGCACATAAGTTAATTTTTTGCGTGTATTATTATCGTAAAATTTTGCTTAATTCATGAAAGGGGTTATGCATCGGTTTCCACAAACAAGCAGTAAGTTGTTTTCTAAAATATGTTGGTTAGTTGAACTTTGTACATTTCTAGATTATTATTTTCGCTATAAGTGGAGTACTTCATAGTCATCAAAAGCTATGAATACAACTAAAATGAAATCCCCAGGAAGGCCAGAAAATTTAGATTTAATTGCTAGATGTTATGACTCAGAAGTTATATGGTACCTTCAACCAAATCGTCGACCATTTCATTTGTCGCCAGCGAAATTTATGAAGGTTAATTGCTATACAGGCTAATCACGAAAACCTTTCTAGTTTTTTCCTGTATACATACTTCGAACATCTTTGACTGGATTTCGATAAATCTTCACAAACCTTTCGTACGAACATTTTCGTGATTTCTCTTAAAATATTCCCCGCAAATTCAAGCCGCATGATGCCGTCAACAGAATTCCATTCCAACTTTGATCATATATATTTGCATTTATTTCATGCTAATAGAGAATTTGGATTCAGCAGCGTAGAGCAAAAATGCGTTCAGAAAATCCCCTGGATAGAAAAGAAATAGAAAATTGCGTCCAATTATGAAAAAGAGATGCCTCATTTTAAAATTATTCAGAAGGAGGTACTTTGGAATTGTAAATCAAATTTTATGTCTCTTGAAATTTCTAAAACGTTTGAAGTGGTTTTAAGTTGAAGTGACTTGAGCAGCGAACTCTGAGGAAGGTTTGTCTGATCTGCAAGTACTAAAGACGCATCAAGTAAAAAAAAAAAAGATCAGAAAAACTTCAAGGCACTTTGAATGTGTTTACAATTGAAAACCCGGAAATGGGTGATTTCTTCAAGTGGACACAGGTATTTGCAATTCGTCTGTCCCTTCCCATTTACCCCAAACCATTTCAAAATCAGGCCATCTCGTTTGAAATGCAGCACGAATTTGAAGAATGTTCCTTCTTCGAATGGAAAACATTTGCCCGAGGCCGTTTCTTGACGCCAATTCCGGTCCACTTCGCTGCCAACAACGATTTTCCGTTCTTGAAAAACAGGTTCTACAAAGAAAACTCTTTCGTCTTTCGCAAAACTTTTCGGCGACGGGCTTTGGATTTTCCATAAATCCAACGTGAACTGGCAATAATTCGAAGGAAGGCTGTTTACGGTCGAAAGGCTTTTTTGGAAAGTTCCGCTGAGGTACAAATTGTCGCCTGGATTGACTCGGATTTCACTTATCCAAAATCGGGGTCCTTCTTTGCTGCGTGTTGAAAACATTCTCAAGCTTTCCGGGGCTTTTGGTACCGGCAAACCTTCTTCTCTGAGAAAAAAAAAATCTACTAAAAGATGCCCATTTTGCAGATAACTTTCGGACGTCTTTCAAATAACCCACAAATTTTCATTAAACTGAGGATGAAACCTGATAAATATATAGCCATTTTTAATTTAAACATTCAGAGGAAGTTCAAATAGTGTGCACGAAAAATTGCAAGACCTTTGATCTATCCAAAACATCAGGAAAAACTCAAACAAAAATCGTAAGTCTCAGTTTTCTTGAAATTATTCTACGAATCCATCATCTAGAATTTTTTGACACTATAAGCTACAACTGAAAAAAGTTTCACAGCTGCGATCCTCAGCAAGTTAATCTTCTTGACATCCATAATTTATGAAAAGTTTACATTTGATAATTTTCAAAACAGACATTTCAAAAGGGTTATTCCCAATTTTTTTACATTTACAGGTTTAGTGTGATTGACAAACCAACAAGGATTTGTCTCCAAAATGATCTGGACTGAATGTCATGATTTTTCAAGAATAGACCATTAATGAACTGTTGAGAATTTCCGGTAATTCAGCACTTGATTGCGTTTGGAATTTGTGGGAAATTTGAGGCACCCTGTGTTCGAATAAATTAAAAAATATTACTCATCACTTAGTGTGCTCCAGTTTTCAGACGACGATCTTGCCTTAATTTCAGTCATTCCTTCCCCTGAAAATTTCAGTCCCATGCTTCCAAACCTAGCTTTTGATTGTTCCAATAGGTTTTTCGTTTTGACCATCAAACTTTCCTCACTGGATGGCAAATTAGAATGAAATCCACGACACAGTGCATTCACACGATCTCCGGTAATCGTGTCAGCACTTTTAGACTTTCCAGAAAGTTCTCTGCACCGATTCAAGGACTTCTCTTGCGGTTGAAAGTCGAATGCTTTCGATGAAAGCTCCTTTTCTGTTTCTGAATCGCATTTCTGGATTGCTTTCGGTAATTCAGTTTTACTTGTTGCTCTGGGTAATGAAATGCTTGTAGTTGAACGTCGTTTCTCGTGATTACATGTGGAGCGGAGTTCTGCAGATGGTTTTGTATCTGAAGGTCAAAAAGTAGTGTTTGGATTTGAAATAATTGTATATATGACGATTATACATCTATTCATTAAAAGGTTTCACTCGTCCTTTTGAATGTTCGTCAAAATCAAATAAAAACCTGCGTCAGTCTGTTGGATGCAATTGAAAGTATCCAGCTTTTCCCCGCAGTGAGTTTCGGATTCCTCGATCACTTTCGCAGAATTTTCGGGAAGTTTGTTAGTGACATCTGTAGAATGATGTTCAAAACAGAGTTCCGTTGATGTTTTTGACGCTGACTCCTTGATGTCGTTAGCACTTGCATCGCCTTGCATCGCTTGTCCATTTTCCATGGCGTCCAGCACTTTGTCAAGGAATTGTTTCAATATCTGAGAAAGTTCTTCTCTTTTACTTTCATTTTTCCAAGTGTTGGGATTCGTGTCACAGGTTGTTGTACTAGCATTTTTCCCGATCGTCCTAGCGCTGGAATTGAACCTGAAAAAAAGGATTAAAGATTGTGTCAAATTTCGAACACAAATCTTTTAATTTCCACGCTGTCAAGTGCCAACCTTCGTTTTTCAATCGATCTGAAGTTATTCCGATTGCTATCCACTTTTCGGTGATCCGACGACAAATTCGGAAAACTTGGCGATTTGTGAATTTTGACAAACTGTCGTTCAGCTTCTGTCATTTCTCGAACGTTTGGTGCCTTTTCAATCCGTTGCTGAAGTTTTCCAGATTTTTCTCTTCGACTTCTAACTTCGTGAAGGCGATCCTCTTCATTCTGTTCAGCAAAAAATAAATGTAAAAAAAAAAAATCAGTTGTCCTAGAATATTAGTTGTTGTGCATGAAGTTGGTATATTTCCGCGAAGAGAATAAATAATAGGGATGATTAGCAATTTTTCACCAGATTAACTTAGATGTCGCTGGTAGATGATTTCTGTTGCAAAGAATCAGTCGAAACGTTGAAATTTATATCTTGAGAAGAACTGAAATTTTTTCGGACATGTCGATATATTTTATATTCACCTGAGAATCCTTAACGTAGCGTTTCCAACTGTCGTTTCCCGGTATGCAAATTACTCTTTCCAAGACAATTTGTCGTTTGTGATGATGTCTTCTTGGTCCTGTGAATCTTTTCCGATGCGAATGTGGCGAAATTTTGTGCAAACCTGAAGCTTCTCGCACAAGCAAAGAATCTCGCAAAATATCCACGTCGTGATCGTTGCCCAAAAGCTCGATAGGAAGGGTGATGTAGCACTTGGGTTTCCTGCTGTCGATTGGCTCAAGTGTCGATTCATCAGTCGTCAAGGGTTCCTTCAGACATTTTTTGCGACGCTTTTCGGACACGGAAAACCCGAATGTCCCCGAAAGGTTAGGATTACTGTCTCCACTGTCGTGAACGAATCTCGTTTCCTCTGTTTTGTCGCCATCACGTGAAAGCATAGTTGCTCGACAATTTGCCGTGTTTTCAACTTGGACTTCTCTGCAAATTCTTGGACCCGAATCAGTTGTAGTGTGGACTTTCTCTTGCTGCAAATTGAATTTTTCGCAGCCGGTTCTCATGCAGTACCGCTGAACAGGACTATTGCCCGAGGGTGTGAAGTTGCAGTCGCAAATGGCACATTTCCGGTTGGGAGCGAGCATTTTTTGCGCAGAAAACTTCTTCTGTAGAGAGCCTTATTCGCTATATAAGTTACCGAAAAAGGATTGATAATTAATTTCTCAATTCGAAAATAAATTTATAAAACATCCTAAAAAATAAAACACTCGAGCGTTTGGTTTCCTTTATAAAATTAAAATGCCTATATCTTTAGAGTCAGGGTTGATGAGTTGAGCGTGTGATTTTCTGGGCAAAAAAAAATCAAATTCAACTGTGCAAAAATGTCCCTCTCAATCATGCGATTGATGATCATTTAAATTTGAATGTCAACAGAAATAATGTTACCACATATCCGTCACTTTTCACTTTGGGGTCTCTATTTTGCTTATTTTGAGATTTATATTTTGTTAAATGAACCTTTTGAAGGTTACAACATTGCGTTTTCTTGGAAATAAATTCAGGAAGCTCCATGTCGTTGTCATTTACAATTATCCAACAAAAGTATTTAAAACAAAGCAATTGAAAACACCACACTTCCAGCGAAATATTTCAAATCTATTTGAACGCTTCAATAACCGCAGAAAATGATTAGACAAATTCTGCAATTTTACTTCTTAAAAAAATTCACCTTCAATAATCTTGCTCAGCTTCTTCCCTCAAGTTCCCCAGTTTTTCTCTGCAAAATTTCGAGGGTTAAATAACACCATGGTAAGAAAAAAATTTCGCTTTCTCCGCGGAAACATCCTCGGTGTCTTCAAACATGTTTTATTTCATCCTCGGAATTGGAAGGAGTTTCCCCTGAAACGCCATCTATACACGAGTTGATGAAGTTTTTGTAGTAGGACACCTTTGTGGCTACATTCGGGTCGAAAGCTCTGCAAGATCGAGTTGTTCTTCTGAATGTGTTCATTCCTGGATACAGTTGTTCGACAACCATTGCAAAATTTGTCTTGAAACTGTCTGGAGCTGCGTGAGTCGAGTGAATGGCAACTAGTTTCGCGTTGCCGTCTGAGTCCAATAGAACAATCGGTCCTCCATCGTCACCCTGTAATTCATGAAAATCATTAAGACAGACAAATTGGTCAGCAAAAATTGCTGTTGATTTGGAAATAGTATTTTGGAGAATTTATTTACGAAACAAGCGATGTCTGAGGTGCTGGTGTAGCAAACGTTGGTGACGTGCATCCGATATCCGATTCCCATCCTTGATAATCTTCCGACGCATTCAGCTTCTTGCATCTCGGACACGTTTACTTTCTTCAAAGCCAGAGATTCTGCAACAAATCCTAATATTTATTTTCAAAAAAGTCTAGTGAGATAATTCTAATGGTTGGAATTTATTTATTGCAATTAACAAGAGACGATACGACATGCGCAAAAACGAGAGTAATTTCAAGAAAAAGATTTGAAAAATTTAATCCAATTTTTTTTTTTCAAAAGGCAGGAAGACATTTTAAGGCTTCTTCAGGTCGAATCTTATTGTGATTACGGTAATCTCCTGGTTAATCACATTGTGATAATAGACCTGGAACAAGGATGAGCAATTCTTACCGTGAATATACAGTATAATTAATTTTATTAAATTATATATTCCAGATGTGACCATATTTTCCTGGTGTGCGGAAATTTTCTTTATGGAAGATTTTTTGCACACTATAGATCAGGTGTTCATGCTTCAAAACGCATTTCCTTTTTTCTGAAATGAACCACATTTTCGACTGAAATTCAATTACATGCAGTATTAAACTTTTATTGCTCAAAAAGATCAACGTTTTTTTCGGTCTATTATTAAGTGAATAGCTGATGATGAGAAAATCTTGAATGGAAATTAGATTCGCTTTTAATTTTTTCAGTGCTTTATTATTTTATTCATTGGTATTGCTGATTTTAAAAATGAGATTTTTGTGATTGAATCCCTCAAACATATATAAATCACCGGTATCATTACGCTCATTAAGTCCCCATCCGCTGAATATGAGGGGATTGCGTTTAGATGGCGGTAATTTGCTGATTTCCTGCTCAAGTTCTGACGTAATCACCGACACTGGAAACGTCATGGAGTCAATTTTGGCAGGATGTGACAGCAACAACATGGCGATGTCGTTGTGGCGAGTGACGGGCTCGTATTCCGGGTGAATCTCCGCCCAGGCAGTGAACTGTTGTTCTTTGACACTGGAAACGTCATGGAGTCAATTTTGGCAGGATGTGACAGCAACAACATGGCGATGTCGTTGTGGCGAGTGACGGGCTCGTATTCCGGGTGAATCTCCGCCCAGGCAGTGAACTGTTGTTCTTTTTCTTCGTGAATTCCTACCATGAGGTCACCCAGATAGACAACGAGGCCTTCTGGGGGTTGAATTCTGCTTGAAATAGTTGGAGAAATATTCATTCAAAAATCTTTCAGCTCACAGAAATTAAACTTTTTTTAAATTTAGGCAGAGTTGCAACTTCACCATACCTTGACCAACTCCATTCCTGCTGATTTGAATTGAAATTCTGAATGCAGACGATGACCGGCTGAATTAAATATTTCGGAATGAAATTCCTGGTCAAATTATCGTCAGTCTAAGGCAGCTCTAAGATTTTTTCTTTCCTCTACAATTCTCATATTTTTGAAAATCTGATAGGAGATGCTTCAGTTTATAAAGTTTTACTTGAAACGCAACTGCAAATAAGTGGCGAAACGGAACCTTCTTGAAAAATGTAATGAATTGATAGCAAACACAATACAGAGGGCTACGAATCAGGTCATCAGATTACACCTGTTCACCCAAAAATAAAATACCTCAGTTAGCAGGTACAAAAAATGCGAGGAATATTCAAATAATCTCTCTATTTACGAATGTTCTTCTGCGCGCATAAGAAGACTGATTCAAAAGTGATCTACACTCATAGAGTATGATCGAAGAAGTCTAATTATTCACGAATTAATTAATTTTTGCTATTGGGAAGATTCCGGGAAAAAATTATGCATTCACTTTTAGACCTCAGGTTCCCACTTTAAACATTTATGGAGTGGTTTTTTAAAGATGGAAATTTCTCGAGTGGAATCAAAACGTGACCTCGTGGTGTCCCGAGTGACACAGTGAGCAGCAGTGATGACCCATTCGGGGTGGATCAAGGCCCCAGTACAGAGAACACCGTTGTATTCGGAATACCGTGTTAGGATTCGTGCCACGTATCCGAAAGAGTGTCGATTGTCGACAGCAGTGCCACCGACGAACGCCGGCGTCGCACTTGGTCTCGGAAGTAATCGGGTTCCTTCATTCAACAGTCTCCTAAGCAGCGAAA